TCAGATGGATTCCTAAACATTTTAAAACGCTTAAAATTCTTCTCTGAGATTAATATAATATATCAGTATAAAGAATAGAAAAAGAAGATTATTTAATAAATAAAAAAAAGATGATAGAAACAAGCACTTGGAAGAATATATTTCTCGTCACAATACTTTTTAATACCTCCTAAACTTATATATTGAAACATTAAAAAAAAAAAATTGCATCTTTCAAAGTACTTTTTAATAAGATTATTTTTCAATTCATTTCATTCGAAACGTAGGAATAGAGAAAGAAATATTTGCATACGTGAAAGAAGTTAATTGATGCAAATTCACGCGTAACGCGAAGAATATAATATCGCTTTGTTTCGCGATTTTATTCGCCAGACTATTTTCGTGGAGCTCAATTTCAAAATCTAAGCGTTCTTCCTCCTTCCGCTTCGTGGCCTCGATTCGCTGGATTCCTCGCTATTCTCTCTATCATTTTTCCGTTTAATCAGTGTGAATAAATACACGAGGGAAAACGACAAGAGGAAATTAGACCCACTTGCTCGTTTGTCATTCGACGTTCGTGAAATTATTCTTCCCTTTTATTTCACTTTTATTATTTTAATAAAGACTCGCATAATACGTAGAAATAGAAGATCGATGAATTTAAGGTTCAATCAGATGAACTTAATTGCGATAAAGGACAACAAATTCATTCGCCTTTCACCAACGTTATATGTTTCAAAGAATACTAAAGACTCTAAAGATTAAACAGTGACTCTGAATTTTTTAAAAGACACGTATTCATACAGAAATAGGATGAATAAAGAACTTGTTTGTTACATAAATTTTGCCCAAACATTCTTGTTTTTTTAACTAGATATAAATGAACCCAAATGATTTTGTATAAATTTGTATTTTCGAGGATACAAGGAAAAGAATAGGATCTCCTATATTCTTCCCTTTAGAATTGTTTTACCTGCTAAATGTTATAAGAACCACATCTTTGGATATCTGTATACTTAGTTTTATTTTTTTCACTCAAATTCCACACCATCTCAATTATGGCCCTTATGCCTGTTAATTCTAGATATCCCTAACTTCTTTCTTCCTGCGGCAGCATATAGGTCAGTAGGTGGTGCTTATATACCTACGTGTTGTCTGGCCACGAATCTCTGAATCCGTAGGAGGCCAAATTCGATCCGAGGAAGCGCGTGGACTTTTTGGTCGACGGCTACCGACCCACGAGACCCGCGCGAGGACCGTTTCGAAGATGGTGAAGTGGCGGAGGAACCGTAGAAGGTTACGAAGGAGGAGTTGCAAGGGCATTAGGCTCCAAATACGGGACGATCAAATTCTTACGAAACGCGGCTCGATATTCTTTACCTTTCTGTTCCATCATCACCAGTTGCTTGCACGATTTTCAGCTTCGAAGTGATTCTCGAACATTCTTGAAACTCTCGAAAGTGTTGAAGTTTTGAGTCTTGGAAAGTCTTGATAAAACGATGATATTTTATATTGAGCATTTCTGTCCATTTTCCAACCGTGTAACATAGAAACGAATATCTAAATGCATCTTATATTTTTAGATTTTCTTCAATATATTGGAGTAAAACTTTTAAAAATGCTTGGGAAATTCATCTTCAAGTGTCAAGATACTTAACGTTTCCAAGATTCAAGATTAATTAAGGCTAAGCTGTTCGAATTTTTAAACATTCGAGACACTTAGAAGCTCCGTAGATATTGAAAATGTGAAAGAAAATGGCAATCATGAATTACCTCCATTGAACAAACAAACCCACGAAAACGAGTCTTTTACTCTTGAGTCGCTGAATATTAATCATGTATATCTGACTAAATGAAATAAAACCTCGTGCAAAGTGGAGTTGATCAGTTTGGCTTCTGAGAAGCTCGTATGTAAATACATATATCCCAAGTGCTTCATAATCCATCACTACTCGTATTCCTCGTGCATCCGAGCTGGCACTCTCACAAAACGAGTGTCAGAAACTCATTCAGAGAGAGAGAGAGGCTGGATTCTCCTCGTACCTGGTAAAGAGAGGAAGTTGAGCAACCAGGAACGAGTTTCGAGGTAGGTCTCGAAGAGAAAAATTCGAAACGGTCGAAAACAAACGTGCGTTTTAGAGGACACGCCAGCAGACACACGCGTCGAAATGTATTTTTGACGGCCGTTTGACAAGCTTTTAACGTTCACCTTTCCGTCCTCTTGTTCCTCTTCTGCCTCCTTTTCGCCGCTTCCGCTCCGCGCGCGCGGATGGACTTTTCTCTGCGTCTCGTTATTTTTGCAAATCGGGTTACGTAAACGTTGCTCTCGCGCCTCTGGAAA